GTAAAAGAGCCTAAACAAATTTGATCAAAAGCACAATATGATGGGAGAAAATATCTGCCAACTCTACATCTGACAAGGAACTCCAAAGACTCGGTAGCAAAAATTTTAAAAACTGATTTCAGAGTCAGGCATGGTGGCACTCTCCTGTAATCCTAGCACTCATGAGGCTGAAGCAGGAGGATCACTGAGAGTCTGAGGACAGCCTGGGCTACATAGTGAGTACAAGCCAGCCTGAACTATATAGAAAAACCCTGTCTCAAAAAAAAAAAAAAAAAGCCAGACACAAGCCTCTTCCCACGAGTCAGCACTATTAGCAGACTACAAAGAGAGAGAACAAAGCCACATCAGGAAGCAAGCCCCACCTAGGACCGGTACCACAGGAGTGGGGACAGCCAGACCCCAGCCCCTTCCAAAGTGCAGACTGGCAAACAAGAAGTATCAATCCCCCCACCACACCATAAGCAACCGGCTGATCCAGAGAAACACCGGCAGTGATGATAGCTATCAAGGTGCAATGCAATTGGATGGCTGTGGTGCTTTTGGTGTTTCTGATCTAGGACCAGGCGTCTGATCATCTGTTCTGAGGATAGCGGTTCGCACTGTGGCATCTAGGGGGAGGAGCTTCTTCTGAGGGTGGTAGCCACTGTTGGTACCCTATTGTCTTGTTTTGAAGTTCTATATCATTTTCATTGTTTTGCTGGGTTGGGTTTTACTCTCTTTTGTTTTGATTATGTTAAATCCGATGGCAGGAGCAGCTATTTCAAAGACAGCAAGATATATTATGGTAGCCATTTTGAATTTACTATTGTCTTGTCTATTAGTTGAAGTCCTTTATTGCAGTCATTATTTTGTTTTTTATTGCTTCTCCTTTATCCTATTCTGTTTGATTTTTACTCTGTCTGAAGGTATCTGCAGGTATTCTGGAGACAATAAAAGGCATTATGGTAATTGATTTCATAATGTTTTAAAGTCCTGTATCACATACACTGATTTGTTTTGCTTGGTTTTATTCTGTTTCATATTCCTTGGTTTCATCCTCTTTAGAAAAAAAATAGATAAACTGATTTTAAACAGAGCAATTTCCTTCAGTAGACACTTCTCAGAGAAGGCATACAAATGGATAACAGCTATGTGAAAAAATGCTTAACATCACTAATCATCAGTGAAATAGAAATCAAAACCACAATGAGCTATCACTTCACTCTTGTAAAAGTTGAGATTACCAGTAGTGTGGAGGATATGGAGAAAGGTTGGTGGGCATCATGAAAACAGTACAGAAGTTCCATAAAAATTTAAAACTCGAACTGCCATATGATCCAGTAATTGCCCAACTAAGTATGTAGCCAAAGGAATTATATCAGTACAGCAAAGATCCATCTGCACTCCAACAGTTATTGCACCACTATTTATAACAATCAAGAAAAGGCAACAGCCTAAGCACCCATCAACAGATGCATGAATAATGTGGAACATACTGTCTACAAAATACAGAAGGGAATACTATTCAATCGTCAAAAAGGAATCAAATCCTGCCTTTTGCACCAACATCCTGGAACTTGAAATCATTATGTTAAAGTGAAATAACATTGGTGCAGAAAGACAAGTACCATATGATTTCACTCTTGTATGGGATATTTTAAAAATTAATCTCATAGAAACTGAGAATAGAATGGTGGTTACCACAGATTGGAGAGAACAGTGAGACTGGGGAGAGGTTACTAAACACTAAATTAGAGGTAGGTAAAAGTAAGAAGTTCTGAGCCAGGTGTGATGACACACGCCTGTAATTCTAGCACTCTGGGAAGCTGAGGCAGGAAAACTGTAAGTTTGAGCCCAACCAGGGCAATTTAGCAATTTAGCAAGTCCCTGTCTCAAAATTTTTAAAAAAGAAAAAAGGGGTAGGTTGGGGTGTGGATGTAACTCAGTGTGAAGGCTCTAGGTTCAATCTCCAGTGCCACAAAAATGGAAAGGCTGACATGCAATTGCAAAGTAACTGGTCATAAATAATAGTGTACTGGGTATTTTAAAAATCTACCTGTATACTCATTTAGTATCAGAAAATACTAGAGGGTCCAAAGACATTCAACACGCCCCTGAAAACTTAAGTTGGTAATCACTTTTGCCCATTTCCAAGTCTTTGACAGATTTTCCTGTTTTGCTAATTGGTAAACTGAATTTAAACTGTTACAATTAAATCTTAAATTCTTTGAAGGCAGAAAACATGATATCATTTTTTATGTACATTCTAGAAATGTTCAGTATTCTTTTATGTATATATATATATATATATATATAATCAAAATTTACTGCAAGATATTTGAGGTAGTACAAAGTTTACATACTATCTACTATATGGCAGGCATTGTGCTAGAAGATACAGAAATGAAATGAATGAATGAATGAATGATTCCAATGCTGATATGATATTTAGTAATCCTACTTGGGACAAAATATCTTTTTGCTTTCAGAAAATAGCAGTGCTGTGTTTCTGTGCCATGCATTACTATTACATTGTATAATTTCATCCTTACCTATAGCATTCTGAATACAAAACCAAGTAAAATCTGATCAAATGATGCAGTCTGTATTATTTCCTGTTATTTTTTTAGCTTGAGATTTTGTTTTATGGTATCTTGAAGATAGTCATCCACGTGTCAACAATTCTGGTGAAGAAATAAAAGACATTTTACTAGCTCATTAAGCTTTTCTGAACTTTCACTAATTAATAAAATTATTTTAGTTATTTAGTAACTATAAACCTTGACAGTTTTTTTTAATTTTAGGACTCTTTCAGCAATCTAAAGTAGCTATTCAGCCATCTCATTTTATTACTATATAGCTGAGAGTTCTAAATTGTGCATATTAAAGTCTGCCAAACTCAGTGGAGGTGAACTGTAATCCACCCTATAAAATTCTGTAAGTTAAATATAGTATCTCTATAATTACATTTTTAGAACCTTAGCAGAATTATGAAGTTAGTAGGCAAAATATTTTAATTCTGGCAAGATGAGCAACTACTTTCCACATGTTTTTTCTCATAAATTTGTTACTTTATGGCTTATTCTTACCACACAAATAAGATAAAGGTGCTGTTTGCTTAATAATACTTTAAAAATATGGTGCTATATTAAGATTTTTGTCATATTATCCTTATTATTATTCTATCCTTCTGCCTTCAAAGTAAGGAACACAATTTGGATCTATGACTGCATAAATTAAACAACTAGGTACAAGTCTATATATGATTCAGGGATCACTTGGAATATTGGAAAATAGTAATATTTGTACACAGCAGTTAAACTAGAGTAATTGCTGAATTCTGAAGCTAAAAAGCATTGTTTCACAGACTGCCCTCAGCATGGAAATTCACTCTAAAAATACAGTACCTTCAGCATGGAATAGGGCCTTGTAAATCTCAGGAACTGAGAAGGTTTTGGCAGGTGGAGAATAAATTGGAGGCTAGTCCGGGCAATTTAGCCAGATCCTCTCTCAAAAAAAAAAAAAAAAAAAAAAATTTACAAATTTAAAAAAAGTATTTTTATTTAAAAAAGGCTAAAGGTGCTATGTGGCGCATATCTGCATTCCCAGAATTTGGGTGGCTGAGGCAGTTCTAGGCTAGTTCTAAGCTAGCCTGGGCTACATAAGCAAGTTCAAGGATAGCCTGCAATACATAGTAAGACTCTCCCTCAAAAAAAAACCCAAAAAACAAAAAAACTAAAATAATAAAATAGGCTGAGGATGTGTCTCAGCGGTAAAGTGGTGAGGTTCAATCTTCAGTACTACAAAAAAAAAGAGTACTGCCACTGCTTACTGATTTTTATGCTAAAACAAACAAAAATCTTTTTTAAACTCAAGATCAGAAGACTTATCATGTACTGATTTTTATTCCAAAACAAATGAAACAAAAAACTTTTTTAAACTCAAGATTAGAAGGCTTATCATGTACTGATTTTTATTCCAAAACAAATGAAACAAAAAACTTTTTACAAACCAAGGTCAGAAAGCTTTGAAGTGAGAACAAGATTAGTAGGTTCAGGCCTGGTGAAGTCCTAGAGTTCAATCCCAGTACCACCACCACCACACTCCACAAAAAAGGCAGATACCTTAAAACCAGGAGTTAGTTTCCAGAATCAGAACAATACTTTTAAGCCTTTTGGGGTAGGTTAGCAACTGCCAGGCTGGAAGAGGTGGGGCAGTAGGGAGGGGTTGAATAGGCACTGGTGTTGTTTTGGAGATGACAAATGTCTTGGAACTAGAGAGGAAGAGTTGCAGAGGGTAGTGAATGTGCCAAACGCCATTGAACACTTTAAAACGCTGTATGAGAAATTCACCCCAATAAAAATTCTGTTTCTAAATATACATGCAGGGTTTTCTGGCGGAAACGGACATCACCCGGAGAAGGCCAACAGTACAAAGCCTGTGCCCGGCGGCAGCATCACAGGTGAGATGCACTTCCTTATCACACAGCCCTCGGGAAAGTGGTCCAGAAAGCTCTCTGAGACCCTAGTTTCAGGAATAGCCAATTAACTACAATCAACACTATTCTCCACTCACTTCGATATGAGAAAATGATAAACTACGTATCAGAATCTTCCAGAAATCTTCTACTCGTACTAGAGCCTACACACCAGGGTAAGAGCAGAAGCCATTTTTAAAAATGGCTTTAGATACTGAGTATGCCTCGAACATTACATTAAACCCAGGTGTTTAACTAAGACGGCTGCATTTTCCAGTGGCGCAGGGTCTCACATGAAAATGTGAAAAACACTGTAAGTCTCCTGTAGTAACGAAGCTAGTCCTTAACGTTCACCACCTTAGCAGCCCGCGGGAAAAGCTGGCTTTACTAGCCGAAGAAGGCGGGGCTTCCGAGCGCACTCCCACCGCTCAGCGCGAGCCGCGCCGCTGGGACTCCTAGTAACTGTAGTTTTATGTCCTCAGCTATCTCTTATTCAAGCCAATATGAAGAGCGAAGAGAAACTACAACTCCCAGAATGCTCCGAGAGGCGGGCTAGCGGCCGCAGCGGTGACGACTGTGGCGGAGAAGGCCCGAGGGGCTCTGCGTTCTGGAGCAACGTTGCTGGGGCTGGTGGCTGCTGGTGTCTAGCCTGAGGAGAACAGCGAGCGTGTTCGGCATTTCCTGCCGGGATCTCAGCAACGATGAGTGCTGCCAGGGAGTCTCACCCGCACGGGGTGAAGCGTTCAGCTTCCCCAGACGACGATGTAAATAACAATGGCGGAATGGATGAGGGTTGAGGCCTACTGAAGGCTGGGGTAGGCCGGGCTTGGTGGATGGAGGAGGAAGAGGAAGCGCCTGAGGAGGCTTGAGGGGGGAGAGGAACAAGAAAAATGACTGGGAAATCTCGTTCTTAATTAAGCGCTGGCGACTTGAGAGCAGGAATCCTGCTTGGGACTGCATGCAGGAAGGAAATCTGAAAGGGTCGAGGAATAAAGTTCAGTGAAGGGATTATGGTGCTTGCGTGTTGGGCAACTGATGAAGCAAGGTACTTAGGCCTTTCTGCTTAGGGATGGAGATGGCCCTATAGACCACCTTGTTTAAGGTTTCAAATGCTTCTGTGACAATGGAGAAGTACTCGTGCACATTTGAACAGAATTTCCTGCCTGGATTGTTTTTGCAGTGTGCTGTCCTGGAAGTAGTGTAGTTATCCTTAAACTTCACTCGCAAATGTAAACGGGAAACAATCCTGAAAACTGTTCCAGGCTTATAATTCAGTACTGGCATAATGTGATGAGGTCCAAGACCCTGAGATGTGGAAGCCCATTTTGATTTTAAGTATACCTTATTCGCAATCCCCCAAGCCTTTGTAAGTTTAAATTAACAAACCAACACTTATGTAACTAAGTCCCAACACTGTGTCAGGTGTTGGGAATTCACATTTGTGGTACTTTTGTTTTGTTTTGTGATATATGTGTCCTAGCTCTAGCGCAGTGTCATGGAAATTGTAGGTAACCTAAAAACGCGAAACTAGGTCCTTAAAATGATGAATAAATGTCTTGGAAGCGTTGGTAGAGAAATTATATTGGGAATGGAGCATGTAGAGGTCATCTGTAAAGATAGTGCAGGAACATCTAACTTAGTGTATTTAAAACATATTCTTAAATTTTCGATAGTGCACTTCAGTGCCTTTCCTAGTATTGTTTTGAAACATAAAAGGCTCACTGAACACTACTTTGTACGTAAGGAGATAGTGCTAGGACCTACCCATCTTTGTATGGAAGGTGGACTGAGACTAGAATAGTAAAAATTTGTAAGGAAATTTAATTCTGCAGAAAGATTAGTATCAATAAAGATTTGGGAGGTGAATGTTTACCATTGTTTATTCATGCTTTCTGTTCTCCCAGCTTCTGACATTTAGATCTTTTGCTTTTTAAATATTTTCAAAAGTGTATCTTTTATTTTTCATTGTCTTCTTTGAGACAGGGTCTCTCTATGCAATTTAGAGTGGCCTTACACTCACTTTGTACCTCAGGCTGGTCTTACACTGGCAACAATCCTGCTTCAGCCTCCAGAGTGCTGAGATTACAGATGTGTGCCACCACACCCGGCTTAAAACTATCTTTAAAATAGCTTTAGAAATTGTAGAAAGTCAGACAACAATGATGTATCAACTGTTCTTAGTGAACATCTGCATGTAAAAGATAATTGAAGGATTTTTTTTCTCATTTACTTTACATATTCTTCAGGGTAACAACGTTTTGTGGTATTAGACATTTAATCACAGCATACACTGTAGAAAAGTGCTGACAGTGAAAAAGTAAATATTAAATAAAAGTTACTAGGGTGTATTGAAGAAAATGTATCGTAGTTCTTAGTGACAGATACTAAGCATGAGCCATGTATGGTGGCATACACCTGTAATTCCAGCACTTAGGAGGCTGGGGCAGAAGGGTTGCCATGAATTCAAACCAGCTTCAGGTACATGATGCAACCCTGTCTCAAAACAACAAGAATATTGAGGATGATTTTAACTTAATGGTTTCATTGGTTTGGAGTGAAGAAATGAATATTACAGGGAATGAGGAAGTTCATCTGTGTAACTATTGGATTATATCTAATTTATCAGTCAACCTGCTTTTCAGAATATAACACTTTGGCAGGGTATTTGCTCTTTGTGAGTCAAATGATTTTGAAAAATAAGATTAGAAATTTTAAAAGGTAGGGTTCCTTATGTAATAATGCTGTGAAGGTGTTTGCCTTTGTAGGAACTGTTGGGCATTCAACCCATGACCTTGTTCGTGCTAAACATGCAGGCTACCACCAGTCTATAGCCCCAACCTATGTTTGCTCTTTTAATAGAAAAAAATCAGTAAAGTTAATTGTTAGACAATTGTAACTGCAATCTGTAAGTATTCTCAGTATCCTGTCTAATTTGGTCATGTACAGTGTGATGTGGAAAAGAGCGAGAGGATTTATGGTCAGAAAAATGAAGCAAGTCATCTACATCTCTGTGCCTTAGTGTCCTTATTTGTTAATGGACTATTGTGACGAGTTCTTGAGAGAATGTAAATCAAAACTTCTGTTTATATTAAACAGTCCAGGTTGGCCTGGGAATTTAGCTCAGTGGCAAGCATGAGGTCATGAGTTCAATCCCTGGTACCAAAAAAAAAAAAAGGTCTAGGTAGAGTATCCCTTATGCTTAGAACCAGAAGTAATTTGGATTTGACATTTTGTTTTTTAACTTGAGAATATTTGCATTCACATAATATCTTAGAGAACTGAAATTTAAATAAGGAAATCTATTTGTTTCTTTTTCTCTTTTTTGTTTTTTTGTTTGTTTTTCTTTTTGACTTTTTAAGACACTTTTGCTATGCAGTTCAGCCTGTCCAACTCAATTTGTAGCCAAGGCTGGCCTCAAACTCACAGTGATCCTCCTGCCTCAATCTCCTCTAAATGCTGGGATTACAGGCAGGTACCACTGTGCCTGGCCAGGAAATACATTTGTTTAATACACAACTTAAAAACATAGTCTAAAGATAATTTTATACATTTGTTTTTAGTGTGTTTTGTTTTGCTCTGTCACAAGAGGTCATATGAGGAATTTTCTACTTCGGCATCATTTTGAAATTCAAAAAGCTTTGGATTTTGCAGCTGCTCAGGTTTTCAGCTTTAAAGGATATTCAGCCTGCATACAGTTCTTTGTAGTTACTATTCTTAAACAGTCTTTTAAGGACTCTTGTCTTTGTAGATAAGAAATTTAAATTAAGTAAATGTCAAGCCTAGGCTCATAGAGCAAGTGATTTAGTGCAACTTAGAAATGGAATTTCAGTAGTACTTTTTTAAAAACCATATTAAGCCGAAAATAGTTGAAAGCTCAATGACCTATAAAAAGATGTGAATGGTCACATGGGAAAAAGTAGAGATTTGTGGGGCTGGGGATTTAGCTCAGCAGCACAGGTGCCTGTCTGGTAAGCATGAGATCTTGAGTTCCGTCTCTGATACCCCCCCATCCTTTTTTTTTTTTTGTAATTTAGGTTGCCAAAGTTACAAAAACATACAATCTTTTTGACCAAAAGAATTTAGTAGAACCACAGTGGGTCCAGTATGGTACAGATACTTTTAACTCTTATACCCAGGAAAAGAAGTTCTTAGTCTTCTATGAATAATTTTCAGAAATAGTGAATAGTGACATCAGGAATTTTAATATGAATTTAACAATAGCAAAGTCAAATTTCTGTTTACATTTTTCTGATTTTGATGGTATATATGCCTTCTCATTATACCTAATTGCTCATCTATCATGTGTGCACCTAGAATGTATAGTTTAAGGTTTCATATCTATTTCTAATAAGTTTTAGCTTTGTCATTACTTCTAATTCTTGAATTTGCATGATCAAAATATAATACTTCATTTTCTTTAATTTTTGTTTTTTTCGAGACAGGGTCTTGCTGTGTATTCTAGGCTGGCTTTAAACTCATTGTAGCCCAGGCTGGCCTCAAATTCAGAGAGTGATCCTCTCGCCTCAGCCTCCTGAGTGCTGGGATTACAGGAGTACACCACCACACCTGGCTAATAACGAGAGTTTTTTGAAACCTTTGATTACTTACAACTTTGTGTTAAAGAGGTATTTGTCACTCTTTGCTCCATAATTGCAAAATGCTTCATTTTTGAGATTATGAACTTAGAATGATCGGTCCAATGAATGTTTTCATTTCTGTATCATCTTTTTCCTTTCAGTCACCTTTTATACACACCTGCTTTCTTCAGCCTTTGTCCACTTAAAAACCAAATCAAGCGAATTTTGTTTGCACAAACAAAAGATTAAGTAAAAGTCACACATCCTTTTAGAAAAATGCGGTGATCCTAGTTCCTGCTGCCAAGTAATGCAAGATGAAGTCTTTCCTATTGACTGATTCTCCAGATGAGCAAACTATATTTCTAGTTTGTCTTTTTTTTTCCCCCCCTTGGTTGTCTCACAATGATTATTAGATTTGGAGAAAAGTCATCTAGTATTGCATCATCCAGAGACTTACAGTCTGTGATTGTTACATATAGTTAATTTCACCCTCATTTTTAATCTTTGAAACTATTCCCTGTCATTTTGCATTCATCTGATTGTGGTAGTAGTGGTGGTGGTTTTGGGATTTTTTTTTTTCCATTTTTTGATGTTGGTTTGTCTACTAGTTGTGAAATGCCTTTGTCAGTTTTCTTTGCCATTATGAGTGGGAAATGAAAAGTTGTAGATCTCATGTGTAATCATTGAATTCTAAAAACAGAAAACAGGATTTCTTCTTGAAATATGATGCAGTGTACATTTAGGATACAATGAGAAAAATCTTCCAGCATTCTAGCTTATAATTGTTTTAGTCATTTTTAGCTTGCTTGAAATAATGCATGAATTGTAATGAACTAATTTGTACATTGGTTTCAAGATACAGGGGAAAATATAGTCACCAGAATTCCATAATATGAAAGGGTTCAGTGGACCTGTTGGCGATTACAAGATAATATTAATCTCTAGTCTTTTAGAAAATAACATTTCCCTTTGTTCTTTGGGAGACTTTTAGGATGGAAGTCATGGCATTTCAGTTCTAACAGAATTGCTGAAAAGAAGCTGAAAGATTACAGTTGTGTTCAGTAGATCTAATGATATGCTGTCCCTTAGGATGTCACTGAAGCCAGAATTTTTTAAATTTAAACTAGCAATGTAGCAGCCTTCTTGGTTAAGAGTATTAGATGCTATAGGTCCCTTCAAAAGGCTCTAGCAGTAAGTATTAAAGTGCAGTCTCCACAGCATTAGCATTGTTTAGGGATTTGTTAAAAATTCCAGGCCTGAAATTGAAATTCCGAGGGTACAGATCAACCCACTAGATGATTTGGGTTCATGGGAATTTTTGAGACCCAGAGCTCTGATGGAAGAGAAGTATTCTACCATGAGGTAATAGAAAAAAGAGTATATTTGAATTTGTGAAGCAAATGCTTAGATTAGGCAAAAATGATGAATCCTGTTGGTAGTGAAAAAAGAAACTTGGAATTATAGGTCAACTTTAAATTTTTCAGTACTTACTTTTATGCCAAAAACAAAAACAAAAATAATATTTCTCTTCCAGCTTGGATCTAGCAATTGGGAGGCAGCAGACTTGGGCAGTGAAGAGAGAAAACAAAAGTTCCTCAGACTTATGGGTGCAGGAAAGGTAAGCATCATATGGTAATGCATTTTATATTTTTTTGTATGAAAATAATGTTTATGCTAAATCATAAGGACAGAATACATTTGAATCACATTTTCTTGATTGGCATCATTTCTTTGTGAAGTGTAACCAGCCTAACTTAGTGCTAAAATTTCTACTATTTCTGGACTACTTCTAGAATTCTCAGTGCCCCTGATAGTAAGTTTGGAGACAGTTTAGAGAAAAGAGATGAAAGTTTATGATTTGCTGTCTGTTAGCCTGGTGTTTTTGAAAGAAGCTATTTGTGACTAGTGACTTTGTAGGAACCACTATCAAAAATCTGTTGTGTTTCATAGCTGTTTCCAGCCCTTGAATTAGAAACCATTTAGAAAACTATTTTATATGTAATGACCCAATTTTAAGAATGTTTAATGGATTTTAATACACCTTACACTTTAATTAACTTAAAATACAGAATGCAAGTCCCAGAAAACCCTAACCGTAACCCTAATTGATAAAAAAAAAACCTTTCTTTCCTTGCCATTTATTCTTATACACAAATACAGTAGTCTCAGGACTTTTTTGTAGGAACAAGTAAACTTTATTTTTATAATATTTTCATAGTAATCTTCTACAGAGTAAATTTTGAAAGAAACTGAATTTTAAGAAATGTTTAAAGTTTCTATTCATTTATTTGCCTAAAAGCACTGATTGAACCCAAGGCCTTCCTCCCCTTTTTGTTTGAGACAAAAATCTTACTGAGTGGCTATGTTACCTAGGTTGGGCTCAAACTTGCAAGTCTTTCAGCCTGGAAAACTTTGTTTCTTTTTAAGCCACCTTAAAATGAAATTATGCCATTTATTTTTATTATATATCGGAATACATTCATGCCTTACCAACAATTACTGATATCCTGCCATATAACAGGCCCTGTATGGGTCGTGGGGATCAGAAATCAAAACCTATGTTTGGAACCATCATGTTTTGAAGGAAATTTGATAATACGGAATCATAATTGCTCTGAGCCATGCACATAATGCTGTGGAATCATAGGGAAGGACAGCTAACTCTGGCTTCACAGTTCAAAATAGCTTCCTAGAGATCAAATGAATTTGAGTCTGAAGTTTATTTAAATCTGAAAGAATGAAAAATTAGATGATACTGATGGGTTTGAGGGTAGGGAGAAGTCATATGAAATATAAAGACATACGTAAAGAAAGCATTTATATAACTTTTTTATAAGACTGGGGATTGAACCCAGGACATTTGCATCAAGCTGCATCTCTCCCATTTTTTGTTTTGAAGTGGGTTCTCATTAAGTTGTCCAGGCTAGATGCAAACATGCCACCCTCCTGCTTCAGCCTCCCAGAATACTAGGCATATGGATGTGTATCATCACACCCAATGTGAGTTATTTAATGTTTTGTAGCTGCAAGGTATATTCCTGACACTAACCATCTAGCTCAAATATTTTATTGGTTATTGTCACCCTAGAGTAACTCAAAGCCATTATATTTACATTCAGATCTTACTGGTAGAGTATCTGCCTTATATTCTAATGCAGTAGCCCACTGAACCTTTGATTTGCTTGAGTGTTAATGGCATGTAAAGTAACAATATGCTTGAAGTTTTTAAGTAGTAGCATCTGTTGGCCCATTGTTTCATAATAGAATAGGTTAAGATTGCTTTACAAAGAAAATCCTGTTTAATCTTTCCGTCTGTTTTAATGAATGATTTATTTACCATAAGAAACTAAATATGAACCATTTAGAGTAAACTGAAATGCTGGACACTTACCTGTAAACCCAGCTTCTCAGGAGACTGAGGTAGGAGAATTGCAAGTTTGAGGCAAGACTAGACAAGTTAATGAGACCTTGATTTAAAATTTAAAAAGAATTGAGGATATAGCTCAGAAATACAGTGAGTGCCTAGCATGTACAAGGCCCTGGGTTCACCACAAGAGTAGACTACACTGATAAATTGAGACCAGAAATAGATATAGATACAGATATTTTTTTAATCAGGTTGGTTACTCTCCATCCCCCGCCCCCCATCTTTTTGAGGCCGGATCTCGCTATGCTATGTAGTGATCCTCCTGCCTTAGTCTCCCAAGTGCTGGGATTATAGACATGCACCACCATGCTGTCAGTTTTGGTTACTTATTTTGAATAAGTGTATTTTTATGTTTTATAGTGATAGATTGTTTTATATTTTATTTTGACAAGTTATGATTAGTTTATTGTAGTCTGATAGTACAGAGCTAGCTACTTGGTTGCAATATGTATTGTAAATAATAATGCTTATTTTTTTAAGTTGGGCATAATGGCACACATGCATAATCCTAGGACTTGGGAGGCTCAGGCAGGAAGATCACAAATTTGAGGTCAGCCTGGGCTGGAGTGATGAATTCAAAACCAGCCAGCACTACAGAGTAAAACTTTGTCTCAAAACACTCAAAAAGTAGCAGTGATTTTATTTTTTATTTTAAAGACTGATCACTTTGTTTAAGTCTGTCAGTTTTTTCATTTTATTTACCTGAATAATCTGTTTACTCTGTCTACGAAAGTCCTAAGTCAAGAGAAAGCAATAGTAGGAAATGTAAAGCAACTCATATAACTGGACTTTTAGGAAAGAAAATACTTAGATTGTCTTAATTCTCTAGTTATCTGTCCATTTCATTTAAAATTCTGATCTGGGTTGGGTGTGGTGGTACATACCTGTAGTCTCAGTGATTGGGAGGCTGAAGCAGGAAGATTGCCACAAGTTCAAGGCCAGCCTAGGCTACATGGTGAGACCTATCTGAAAGAAAAACTCTGATCTGATTTCTACCCCTGCTTTATACCTTATCCCCTTATTCTGCTCTGTGTAGTCTTAATGGCACTCGTTTACTTCTACTATACTATAGTTATGTTTTCATTATGTCTGTCTGTTTCCCTTCCCCATCTGTACCCTTCTGAAAATGTAAGGTTTATAAAGGTTGAGATCTGTTTCTTCCCTCTCCTTCATTGTATCCTGGAAGTCTGGACTAGTTTCTAGTTGATAATAGTTAAATTAGTACTCTTATTCTAATAACATTTTCTATCTTGTAGAAGGAACACACTGGTCGTCTTGTTATAGGAGATCACAAATCAACATCACATTTCCGAACAGGTAAGAAAGTAAAGATATAATTTAATTGGAGGTGTTAAATTTGATAAATGAAATACTTGCACATATTTTGGAATATTCCTCTATATAGAGTTGATTAGTCATTAAAATATTACTATATGAAAATTAAATTCACCATACATTAAAATTTACTATATGAAAATATGTTACACAGATATATACAGATATATATAACACATATAAACATGTCATGTCAGAGAATATCAAATTTTGTGTATTTTGATTAAAAAGGATAGGAGACTATATCACTTACATATCATGGGTTCCCAGTCATCAGGCCATAGATTAATTTCACTACTGGTTCATGGCCTGGTAAGGAAAGGGACAACACAGCAGGAGGTCCATAGCAGGAATCTGAGTAAAGACTGATCTACACCAGCTGCCTATACTTCCCATTACTACCTGAGCCTCCACTTTGTGTTAGATCAGCAATGGCAATAGATTCTCAGAGGACCACGAACCCTACGTTAACTGCACACGCGAGGGATCAAAGTTGTGTATGCCTTATGACACTCTAATGCCTGATAATCTGAGGTGGAGCTGGGGTAGTAGTGCTGCTACTGGAGAGCAAGTGCAAATACAGATTAACGTTAGCAAAGATGTTGGATTACACAGAGACCATAATGAATCAGTTGCTTGAGGACTCTTCTCAAAACCTCATGAATGAGTGGTGAGCTTCATCTGGTGGCAGGCTTTATAGTGGTAGTTATATTGATATACAGTTACACCTGGTGGTAGGCTTTTAAGTCAGAATCTGACACATACTTCAGTCTGTATGTGGCCCACCCATTATTTCAATAACTACTTCAGTTCTTGCCTCCTCACACAGTGTACACTTATCCACAGTTTAGTAAGCCCATGGGCTGAGCCTAGCCAAACTTCAGTTATAAAAACATAACTGGAAAGTTTCCTTTGAAATAGGGGTAAAACTCAGTGAAGCAGCATAAAACTTTTAAGACTGTCAACAAAAAGAACCTGCATTTAAAACAGTAATCTCTAGCCTTTTTGGAATCAGGCACAGGTTCATGGAAGGTACTTTTCTGTTAAACTGGGGACAGTGAATGAGTCAAGCACATTACATTTATTGTGCATTATTTTTCTATTGTATTACATTGGAATATATAGTCAAAGCACAATGCATAGTCAGTGGGTACCCCACGTTTGTTTTAACCAGACATTACCATTAAGGGATGATGTGAGAAAGGGACACCCAAAGTCTGTTATAATATCCAGTCTACCCCAGTACCTGGTTTTGGTCACTGTCACTGCAAGTGGAAGCTGCAGTACTTCTGCAGCAAACTCAGGACGCTTCACCTTGACTTTAATTCAGAATGTGTGAAGATCTGAAGTGGTCTCAAATGTACTGTTTAAGGCAGCTGTCATTTGAGGTCTAAGGAACTGTAATCTTCTTCTGACACAGACAATATCCATCCTCCTGGCTTCTTGACGAACGCCTTAGGATCCATGCATTCCGGTTGGGCAGGGGGGTTCTTCTGTGGTTGAGGAGTAACGCCCAAACTCTTGAAAGCTGGGCTGGGTGATCATGCTCCTGCTGAGGGAAAGAGATGGCTCTGGCTCTGTCTCTTTTGAAACTCTCTGCTAATGTCTGAAACACTCCACAATAGCAGTTAGGCTTTGAATGCAGCCTCTTTATCTGCCAACTTGAACACACTTGTCTCCTGACATGACAGACTGAGTTTGTTGTGCAGGGTGGACATGTCACGTGAGTAAGCAAGTTTTGGAATCCTTTTGTGTCTTTGAAATGTACTGCCAGTGGTGTTGTTCTTCTAGAAGACATCTCTGGGGTGGCTCTCATAACTCCCCAAATCTGGCTACCCTGCTTCTGTGTGTAAGAGAAGACAGACGTGTGTACGCCGTGGAAACAGACAGGACTTAAGAACATGTACTTTAACGTGGTTGATAATTCTAATCACATGCTGCAGATATCAAGTTCAGGTGCCATTTTTCAGCGAGGCTCCATTCCTCTTGGATTAACAGTGTATAGCCTCAATTTCAGAAGTGACCTCTTTGACCTAAGTAGTGAAACCAGAAAGCCATCCCACTCTGACCGCCACTCCATCTCTACATAAACTGACACAAAACAACCAGTTAAGTTTCCCCGATGTGTAATCAGGAGATGTGAATACCATGCAGCTGTGGTATTGGTTGGCCACCAAAGCCCACATAACACGTCCTTGTGCACATTCTCCTGGAAGTTCTGCTGCACGGAAGTGAGCATTGTCACCTTGTCGTCAGCATCAGTAAACTCATCAACCTGGTCTGCCTACCACAGTGACTCATGAATCCTAACTGTGCCTCAACATCCTCCACTGATTCCTCAGTTCATCTCACTGTGGTGCTAGTTGAAAGAGGAACACATGTCACCTTTCAAACTACAGCTTCTGTGGTCGCTTGGGCAGCACATCTACTAAAATTGAGCTGCGGTTTCTGCTGACAGCTCACAACAGATGTCCTCAGCAGCAGGCAGGATCAACTCTTCGAACAGCAAACAGCTGCTTAGCTTTAGCAGTGCAGTTAGCCACTGAGAGTGATGCTCTTGGTGCAGACACATTTGATGGAGTGGTGGCCTCTGACACTTGCTTCTGTTCGCTGTTCACACCGCTTTGTTTTGAAAAACTCCAGAGGCTTGTCTTCTGTGGTGGGGCTGCTTGTTCTCCACGTGACGAAGGACTCAGGTGTTGGAGCTGGTCACATACTATACAAAGTGGGCTTGGAGAGTGTGAGTCACCTGTTGCAATGAACCCATAATTTAAGGACGACTCTTGGTGTTTTTTTTCAGTTGCACCCTCTTGTTGGCATTTCTAGAGTCTTCTGCTATACCATCAGGTCTTCTCCCTTTTTCCAAAAAACTGCAGTGATGTTTGTTTTTACTTATTTTGGCTAGCATTAATTAACCAGGACTGCTGCTGAAAAAGTGCAGTCTATTAAAGAGGCAGGGACTGAAGTGGTAAATAAAATGGGTGGGCCACATGTAGACTAAAATAAGCCTGGTATTCTGACGTAAAGCCTGCCACCAGATGGAGCCGTGCAATTGGACTGCATCAACTTACTTGCCTCTGTAAAGTCTGCCACCAGGTGCAGCTTCCTTGTCACTTGCCCCTCATGGTTTTGAGAGATGTTTGCAAAAGGCTGGTTTTTTTTTTGTTGTTTTTTTTTTTTTTTTTTTTTGGTCTCTGCAATCAAACCTCTTTTCTAGGCTAGGGATGTATCAGTGGCACAGTGCTGGCCTGGCAAATGTGAGGTTCTGAGTTTAATTCCTGGTGCCAAAAAAAAAAAAACCCCGCTCTGCTAATGTTAATCTGTATTTGCAGTCTCTCTCCAACACTAGTACTGCACCTCAGATTATCAGACATTAGATTCTCATAAGGAATACAACTTTGGTCCCACATGCATGCAGTTAATAATAGGGTTTGTGGTCCCCTGAGAATCTAATGCCACTGCTGATCACACAGGAGGTGGAGCTCAGGTGGTAACACAAATTATGAGGAGCTTTAGAGGTAGTTGAATCCTTTCTCCGTTGGGCATTACTTCCTCCTGGGTGGCCCAGTTTATAAAAGCCATGTACTTATAAAAGTATACTACTCAGTACTAGTCTATGGTCTGGGGGTTGGGAACTCATGATTAAAAAAAAAACACCAAGAGTCGTCCTTAAATTATGGGTTCATTGCAACAGGTGACTCACACTCTCCAAGCCCACTTTGTATAGTATGTGACCAGCTCCAACACCTGAGTCCTTCGTCACGTGGAGAACAAGCAGCCCCACCACAGAAGACAAGCCTCTGGAGTTTTTCAAAACAAAGCGGTGTGAACAGCGAACAGAAGCAAGTGTCAGAGGCCACCACTCCATCAAATGTGTCTGCACCAAGAGCATCACTCTCAGTGGCTAACTGCACTGCTAAAGCTAAGCAGCTGTTTGCTGTTCGAAGAGTTGATCCTGCCTGCTGCTGAGGACATCTGTTGTGAGCTGTCAGCAGAAACCGCAGCTCAATTTTAGTAGATGTGCTGCCCAAGCGACCACAGAAGCTGTAGTTTGAAAGGTGACATGTGTTCCTCTTTCAACTAGCACCACAGTGAGATGAACTGAGGAATCAGTGGAGGATGTTGAGGCACAGTTAGGATTCATGAGTCACTGTGGTAGGCAGACCAGGTTGATGAGTTTACTGATGCTGACGACAAGGTGACAATGCTCACTTCCGTGCAGCAGAACTTCCAGGAGAATGTGCACAAGGACGTGTTATGTGGGCTTTGGTGGCCAACCAATACCACAGCTGCATGGTATTCACATCTCCTGATTACACATCGGGGAAACTTAACTGGTTGTTTTGTGTCAGTTTATGTAGAGATGGAGTGGCGGTCAGAGTGGGATGGCTTTCTGGTTTCACTACTTAGGTCAAAGAGGTCACTTCTGAAATTGAGGCTATACACTGTTAATCCAAGAGGAATGGAGCCTCGCTGAAAAATGGCACCTGAACTTGATATCTGCAGCATGTGATTAGAATTATCAACCACGTTAAAGTACATGTTCTTAAGTCCTGTCTGTTTCCACGGCGTACACACGTCTGTCTTCTCTTACACACAGAAGCAGGGTAGCCAGATTTGGGGAGTTATGAGAGCCACCCCAGAGATGTCTTCTAGAAGAACAACACCACTGGCAGTACATTTCAAAGACACAAAAGGATTCCAAAACTTGCTTACTCACGTGACATGTCCACCCTGCACAACAAACTCAGTCTGTCATGTCAGGAGACAAGTGTGTTCAAGTTGGCAGATAAAGAGGCTGCATTCAAAGCCTAACTGCTATTGTGGAGTGTTTCAGACATTAGCAGAGAGTTTCAAAAGAGACAGAGCCAGAGCCATCTCTTTCCCTCAGCAGGAGCATGATCACCCAGCCCAGCTTTCAAGAGTTTGGGCGTTACTCCTCAACCACAGAAGAACCCCCCTGCCCAACCGGAATGCATGGATCCTAAGGCGTTCGTCAAGAAGCCAGGAGGATGGATATTGTCTGTGTCAGAAGAAGATTACAGTTCCTTAGACCTCAAATGACAGCTGCCTTAAACAGTACATTTGAGACCACTTCAGATCTTCACACATTCTGAATTAAAGTCAAGGTGAAGCGTCCTGAGTTTGCTGCAGAAGTACTGCAGCTTCCACTTGCAGTGACAGTGACCAAAACCAGGTACTGGGGTAGACTGGATATTATAACAGACTTTGGGTGTCCCTTTCTCACATCACCCTTTAATGGTAATGTCTAGTTAAAACTTGGGGTACCCACCGACTATTGCACTGCGGTGAGCTGTCTAATTATTGCATTGGAGTATATAGTTATATAAGGAAAGAAACCCCACAGAAAGTAAATGTAATGTTTTTGAAGCTCTTGCAACCACCTCCTGAACCCCTGGGTCAGTGGAAAAATTATCTTCTGTGAAACCTATCCCAGGTACCAACAAGACTAGAGATGCTGAGATATATAAATACGATATTCTAACCAAAACCAAAATCCTTTTCTATCTTCATGCTTACTGATTCAGAATGTATATTTTAATTATAGTTAAGTTTTGTCACTCATTGCCAAATGAGATTCATATACTTTGTCTTCCTTTTTAGATTATTTTTATTTTAGATATTTTTCTTTGTATAAATGATTTAGTGTATTTGATATATAACACCATTTTTTAAAGTTTATTCACTCATTCTGAAAGCTTTGAAGAACATAAGTAGGCTTCAGAGTCTGAAGTATTTCCTTCTTTTAATAAAACTTGAATTTTAATTTTAACTAGGGTCTGTTGAAAAGTAAAACTTTAATCTGCTTAAAATTGGCACCTTGGGCTGGGCTGTAGCTCTGGTAGAGAGCCTGCCTAGCATGCACACAGCCCTGAGTTCAGGCCCCAGGACCACAAAAAAAAAGTACGAATCTTGGACATCAGTAATGTCATAATCTCCTAGTCTAAGTTAAACGCAAGCAATTTAACTTCATGTTTATCTAGTATGTATAGCAAATTTCATACATTAATAGGTCTTTTGCTTATCTAATGTTAAAAATTTGTTTCCAGTTGTTTCACATTGCATCATAAGGCAAAAAATGAGTCTTGGTAATGGAAAAATACTTTAACTGCATCATTTACCCTTAAAACTAGGCACTTTATGAGTAAAAAGATTGGCATACTTTACCATTTGTGACTAATACTTGAGATTTCTCCTATATAAGTTTATGTTAGTACACAGGAAACTCCAGCAATATTGGTAAAATTCTAATTCTGGAGTAGTAGGTCTGTGGGTGGTGGCTTAGTGTCTGCTTCATAACTTACAAACAGCAGAAAGTATATTAAGTATATGTACATGTAGCATGACAAAATAAAATCTTTTTATGTTGCTTCAGTTAGCACATACCAAGCCAAGGAGGCATAAAGGAGAGCCATTTCAAGGTCACTTTCATGTAGTCACTAAACAGAACTGCCTAGCTTTTCAGTTTTTGTTTGAGACAGGGCCTTGCTGTGGTTCAGGCAGGCCTTGAACTTAGTGTGTAGTCTAAGACAGCCTAAAACTTGGCCTCCTGTGGGTACAGTTGTGCGCCATGTCCAGCCTTTTTCACTATTTCAAAAGCAAATGATTTTTTTCATCACAGTTTTTGTTTTGTTTTTTATAGGTAGTTTGGAAAGTTTTTACAAGAGTCATAGCTGGGCATGTTGATGCACACCTGTAATCCCAGCACCAGGGAGGCTGAGGCAGGAAGATTGGCATATGTTCAAGGCTGGCCTGCGCTATCTAGTTTAAAGCCAACCTGAACTATGTAACAAGACTTTGTTTCAAAAACCAAACACTAGCAACAAAAACAGACCAGTCATTAAACAGGTGTAGTAAAAGGCTCATTTTTGAAAGACTAATCATAAATGCATCTTTTAATTGTTATGAGGTAACTACTGTGCTATAGAGATCTATACACAAACTTCATTGTAAAATTAGTTGCATTTAGAGAATTCAGCTCTGAATAGTATAGCATCTGTATAATAGGTTTTTTTGTGTAATCAAATGTTTTTATTAATTTGACTGAAACATAACCAAAGTAAAATGGACATGCAGGGGAAGAAGACAAGAAAATTAATGAAGAACTGGAGTCTCAATATCAGCAAAGTATGGACAGTAAATTATCAGGAAGATACCGACGACATTGTGGACTTGGCTTCAGTGAGGTAGTGGCTGATTCTTTTTCATTGACTGGGAGGATAACCAGTTTCAGTTTGACATCATTTCTTTTAGGTTACCCTAGCAACCAAGAATCCTAATGTTAGAAGGCTATTTTTATAGAGGTACTTAAAATACTCTTACTGCCCAACTGAGTCTTCATAGATAAGCAGAAAAGATGTTTCTAAGAATTTAAAACTGAGTTTTGTAAACCAGACCAGTATAAATTCTGCCTAATCATGGTACATCTTTAATGGGCATAAATGACTTGCTCACAAGTTAAGTAAAATACATAACTTTAAAATACTAGTAGAATTCACAATCATTTCCTAAGTGATCTCTTTTTAGGTTCTGAATTAATGGACAACTACAGGTTACTCCAAAGTAACATAATACACAAAATGTCTAGAACTTATTTCTATATAAAAATTATTAGATAAGTAATTTTCAAACTAACAGGAGGGGAGCCAGATGAGTGGTCTTCAGATTCCTTTCTTGTATCTGTAGATCCCTGATCCTCAGTGCTGAATTCTTCCATCAGCGGCCCCTGGTTACAGTGTTGTCTTAAAACTGCTGACCTAACAATAGTTAGGATGTGGGCTTTTTTAAAAAGATTCTGACGAAAACCCTCTGCCAATCTGTGTACTGGCAAATGAGTGGTTTTAAGAGGAGTCTGTTGATTGGTGTTTTAGGTAGAAGATCATGATGGAGAAGGTGATGTGGCTGCAGATGATGATGATGATGATGATTCACCTGATCCTGAAAGTCCAGATGATTCTGAAAGTGATTCAGAGTCAGAAAAGGAAGAATCTGCTGATGAACTCCAAGCTACTGAGCATCCTGATGAAGTGGAAGATCCCAAAAACAAAAAAGATGCAAAAGGCAACTATAAAATGATGTTTGTTAAATCCAGTGGTTCATAACTCCCAAACACTTAGACTTTGTATTAAAAGTAAGCCTTATTGTTATAATGCACAGTGGAGGACTGCTTATATAGCACAGACCTTTGTATTATAATTTTTAAAAAGGCCCTTTTAAATAATTACAAAGTGTTTGATTTCAAATGCCATGGGTTACACTTTTATGGGCATGACTACAACCATTTTTGTAAAGAGCAAGAGTTGTATAAAATAAGAAATAAATACAGTACTCAACTTCCTTTCATATCAGCATCCTCAGCCCTCTAGCCTCACCTTGTACCCCTGCAGATGCATTTGGGGGGAATACTTTTTTTGTTTGTGGTAGCTCTTTCATCTATTTTTTTCATATTTTTCTCTTTCTTACAGAAGTTCATGTGATACTGTGAGATGTTCATGAAAAATATTCCTTAGTTATACTTTGTTAAAGTAGAACTACTTATGAATCTTTCTGCTGCCATCACAATCTAAAGTACTGTTGGCAAAAGACTAGATATTTAGTTGACCCTTACTGATTCAGCTCTTCTCTTGGACCAAAGTAACACAACAAGAAGTATATTAACTCCCATTAGGACGTAATTACAACTGTCATACCTTTGGAATGTTAGGATCCTGAACAGTCTTTATATCATTTAATTATACTGTATGTTAGATTTTTGATAAAATTTGGTCAATTTTTACAGAAGAAATTATTTCTCTGATCATTTAGTTCTACTTAGAAATATGTAAAACTGGATTTTTTTTTTTAAATAATATGTGACCAAAGTTCATTTTTTTCTTCTGAAGGTCTAAATAAAGAGAAAGCAGTTTCCCATATTTCGTTGTGATACCTTTATCCTCATTTTTGAAAAATGAGGAATGGGCGCAAGTGAACAAGAAGCTGGGACAAATTCTCTTTTATCTCAGTACTATTATTTTGATACTAAAGAGAAGTATTACTTTGCAGTTCTAGTGCTGCTTCTGTTGGGGTAAGATTAGAATCACCTGACCGTAATATAGTGGAATTGTACAGTGGGTTAACATAAATGCATTATGGGGCTATTTGAACACTTGGTTCCAAAATCTTAATATTTCTAAATAACAAGTTCAAAGACATGAGTCAAACTTTATTTGTAACCTAAATGTTACACAACTAGATGTCTAAGTGTGAATGTTTGGTGTGTTGCACTGTTTGTTTTTTTTTTTTTTTTTCTTTCTTTTTCTTTTTTATCGGTACCGGGGATCGAACTCACGACTGCCTGCTTGCAAGGCAGGCACTTATGCCGCTGAGCTAAATTCCCAGCCCCTGTTGCACTGTTTTTTAAAGCTCTATGTTATGTTTAAATTTAGAGTGTTAAGAAGGAAGCAGGTGCAACAGGTGATTTCTGGGTTACAGATTATGTCTTGCAATATTTTTCATCTAGTAAACCCTTGAGGTTCAAGGTGTTTCTTGTGCAGGTTGTTTTGTTTTGGGGATTTTGCTTTTTTTTTCTTTTTCCCCCCAGACAGCATCTTGCTATGTATTTCAGACAAGCCTTGAACTCACTATGAAGCCCAAGCTGGCCTTGAACTCCTTACGACCCTCTGCCTCTGTCTCAGCCTCCTGTGTATGAATTACAGACCACCATGCCTTCAATTCAGTCTTAGTTCAACCATTAATTTTCAAATATGTAGCCTCCAGGTTTATATATTAGTTAATTTAATTAGAAAACAGAATCTTGGCTTAATGTTTCATAATGGAAGGAGGGAGACCAATATTATGTTTCAAAACAAATATTTCCATCAGTTCATCACTTAAATGTTTAACCCTTGGTTTTAATATGTAATTAGAAACACCTAGAATAACTGCCCTGCATGACCGTTTTCCTTAATCTCCACATAGAGGTTCTCACTTTAATTCATGTGTTACTAGACACTAACAACATTCAGGACTAGAATTAAGCTTAGGATCCACATGGCCTAGTATCCAGACAGCATGGTAAACAGAACTGTCTTCCATGCATGAAGCTTTTCTTACCAGATGGGGTCTAGGGGACAGAAGGAGCCAAGCCGGGATGGTGGTACACGCCTATAATCCTAACACTCTAGGAAGCTGAGGCAGGAAGAGTACAGGTGAACCCCAGCCTGAGCATCCTAGTGACTTAATGAGATCTTGTCAAAAAAAAAAAAAAAAGCATTGGGATGTAGGTCAGTGTGAAGGCCCCAGGTGTAACCCCCAGCAGTGTGGGGAAAAAAGACCAATGTTAGGCTATATTGATGTCTGCTAAAGAAATATTGAGGGGAGGGTTGTGCAGTAAAACACTAATACCTGGAAAGTTTAAGGGCAGTTTTTTCTATATAGTGATAATTTCCTTACCTGAAGTGTGCTGCTTTCAAGTTTGCCTATATCAGATATCTAAATCCCATTATCTAAAAGTCTATTGAATGCTTTCAGGAACAAATAACAGCATCATTTGTAGTATTAGGGGAAAATCCTTAACGTCAAAAACCTTTATTTTTTTATATGTAATGCTGAGTCTCAAATCCAGGGCTTCACACATGCTAGGCAAACACACCACATGTCCAACCCCTCAAGTATTTTTAAAACTTGGGGAAATTGAAGATAGAGAAAAAAGTTTAGAGAAATTGACCCATAGATTGAAAACAAAGTTATGCCATGTTCTTCTAGTAAACTTAGAAATCAGTTTCAGCTCTCTGGGTACTTCTTAATACACAAGGCTGCTGGGGATATAGCTCAATGGCACAGCCCTTACCTGGCAAGCACAGGGTTGTAAGTTCAGTCTCTGGTGCCAAAACACAAACACACACACATACAAGACTGTGTTTCCATTACTTCATCTCCATCACTGCCACATCCAGTATACCGTAAAGTATCCAAAGGATGGCCTTCCTTCTGAAATCACTAGTTTAGAAATCTCAGTAATGCACATAAAACTGATAGTACAATTCTGTTTTATTACACCTGTTTATGTCAGGTGAAAGTCAGCGTTCACCTTCCTAAGCCCTGTCTCGGTATTTACTTGATCTACCAATTCTGGTTCAGCCCCTGAAATAACTGCCAATGTTATACCTTCCTTGTAAATCCCAGCCCAGGATGTGTCCAACCCCCTGTAAGTGACTTCTAGAGAAAAACGGGCAGATGCGTAAATCAGTATACATTGATACTGGTTGACCCCAGTGTTGCCTGGTAACCTTTTTTCTGTAGCTCTTCTGTTTTCTTAACAATTTATAACATTTGGAAACATGACTCTTCCCCTCCTTATACTTCCCTTCCCTTTCTTACATGAAAAAAGAGAGACCTTAATTCCCTGCACTTCCCCCTACAAAGTCCACAACCAGGGACAAGTGACCATTGTGTACTCAGTCATATCCCAGCTCTACTACCATGGTGACCCTGAGCATAATTTAACCTCTGGACTCCTTTCATCAGTAGAATCAGGGCAGTAACCACTGTGTATCACTGAGAATTGGGTAAAATGAGTAAAGAGCTTTAGTGTTCGGGTTCTGTGTGATTAACAAATGCTAGCAGCTGTTAATGCTTTTGTACTTTTATAAGCCTAGTGGTCTCAATTATCCTTGAAGTCTTCAACCTGTTCTGTAATCTTCTGGCTCTTTGTTAGCGTTTTAGTAGGTATTTACATCTAGTAGATATTTTACATCTTAAAAAAAAAAAACAAAAACGGTGGCACATTCCTGTAACCCTGGCACTCTAGGAGTCTGAGACAGGAAGACAGTTATTTTCAGTGGTGCTGGGGATTGAACCCAACAGGGATACTACCCCTGCTAAGACCCCCTTTTTCTTGACTTTTGAAACAGGATCTTTCCGGGGTTTGCTCCAAACCTTTAATCCTGCCTCAGCTTCCACTGTAGCTGGGATTACACACAGACTGTACCACGGCCAGCTAATAGCTGGTTTCGGTTACTGTGTACTTCCTCACTGCTGTCCCCTCTATTCCACTCCCGGTGTGGCTTCTGCGCCCCTCTGAATACCACAGTGAAAAGCTATTCCCACCAGATCAAAGACTTTCATTTTTCAAAAACGTTTTAAAGTACTTTTTAGTTCTTTGATTAGTTAGC